ACACCTCCTCTTACATGGCACAAATCTGGTATTCCATTCAATTGACACTTAAATCTCTTGATATGCCACAGTGTAATATACTGAAAATATTACTTCTATTCATCCATCTTCAATATGAAGATGTCCACACACTCAACACTTCTGATTAGTTGTTTTTAATGCACACTGATAGGACACCTGTCATGATACAATATAACCAAAGGGTTTCAAATAAAGTTAAAGACAAATACATGAACCCAAGTCCACATGATGGGAGAGTGAAGGTGGGGGTGGTGAGGGACTGAACTGACTTTTTAGCCAACCCAGGATAAAGCAGGCTTCAACAAGCATTGCAGCATTGAAATCATACACAGTGTGTTTTTTGCTCTCATAGCACTGAAGCTACAATTCACTGAAAGTGGGTGACCAGAAAGTTCTGTTGTTTGGTATTCATGAAACAGACACCTAAATAATCTTCAAAGTGAACCACTTTTTGAGACACAAAATAACTTTAACTGAAATATGCTTAACACACTACGTGACAAAACTTAAGAAAGAAATTTTCACCCAGAAATACGCATGTCAGAAACAGAAACTGGAAATGTACCAGTTTTTGTACCATGAGGAAACTAAAATAGTAAAAGATCCAGACCAAAAAAAAAAAAGAAAGGAAAAGAGGCCCAAGACATATCCCTAAGGCCACATACACAAAACAATGACACTTTTGTTTTCTTTATGTATTTTATTTTCTATTTTACACCATGGTAGAGAATACTGAATAAACTTTACTTTTATCACTGCTTAAGGAAGCTGAAAGAGACAAATCAAAATACGAAAGATTTCCAAGCACGCCGGCAACTCGTCAAAGCTTGACTTTATTACACTACAAAGCCAGATTCAAGAAACGTCACATAAAATGCATTCATCACTCCCTTTGCCCTTAACCTGCAAACCAGTCACAAGGTAATTGGATAGTGCTGATATCTAGACATTTTATAATACCACTGCCATCAAAAGAGCCATTGATATTCCAGTGGAATCAACCACTTTCTTGCTGACCTAAACTGAGGTGTCATTCTCAAGAATGACCACAAGGTGGCAGCAGAGACCGACAGTTGGAAACACATTGTTACTATTGGCTTCACAAAAAAGGTTCTTTTGCTTTTTACTGGTACAATAAACTTCAAACAGTAAAGTCAATCTAGGCAAAGCTGAGGAAACGAGCCCATCAACATGTCTGTGGGGGCACGTACATAAAATGAGGGGGCTTGTGCTTTACTTTATTTTCTTTTAACTCTTGGTGGAGAATTTCAAATAAATTTTACCTCTGTGGTAAGAAAGCTGTAACAAAGCAAATGACAATTTTCAAGCACACCTGGAAATTGTAGAAACCCGACTCTATCACACTACACAACCAGATCCAAGAAATGTCACATAAAACACGCTAATTGCTCTCTTGGCTGTTAATCTGAAAACCAGTGACAAGGTAGATGGACAGCCCTGAAATTTAGAGTTTTTCAAATGCACTTTGTACAAACCCCTGCGATCAAGCCCTGGCTGTTGTGGCTCAGTGGATTGAGTGCTGGCCTGCAAACCAGAAGGTTACTGGTTTGATTCCCAGTCAGAACTCATGCCTGGGTTGTGGGCCAGGTCCCCAGTTGGGGGTATGTGAGAGGCAACCGATCAATGTTTCTCTCTCATACATTGATGTGTCTCTCCCTCTCTTTCTCCCTCCTGCCCTCTCTCTCTAAAAAAAAAAGTAAACAATAAATAAAATCTATAACAAGATACTTTTTAAAAATTAAAAAAAAAACACCCCACCATCAATCAACCACTTTTACTACTGACCTGTACTGAGGCATCATTCCCAAAAATGGCCAGGAGATGGCAGCAGAGACCGACACATGGAACTACTGGCTTGGCAGAAAAGTTAGGTCACTTTTTAGCATCAGGTGCCATGACAGGCACGTTTTTCATTTTCCCCCAGCAACGTGACTGAACAACGACTGGACAACATAGTCACCACTTTGTTCCTGCTACTTTTCAGGCAACTTCACCATTAATCCCACAACATTGTTCTCTTTCAGAGCAGAGAACTCTTCCAGGTGCCTTCTGCAGTCTTCCAGGACATGGAAATTTCTCTCCATTAAGACAAGTTTGGAAAGACTGAACTAAATGGCTTGCACCTTCTGTGTCTTCTGCTGACAAATTCTGAACAATTTCCCACGGGCGGCTTTCAGTTGCTCTGTTGGGAGAAACCCGCTGGGTTTCTGCAAGGAGCTCCTACTGCACAACACCCTCGGGAATCCACCACATACACAACATCACCTCCTTTAGATGAAGACCACCCTTTGGAGGGGATGCTGGTGGTGGTTCCTTTCTTTCCCTCAATTCTCCCGTTCCACATTATTCTAACACATCAACAGTTCATCTCCTCTCAAAATTTGTTCTAGAAGCAGAATATTTTCCTTAGGTTTCAGTGGAGAACTGCTTGTGGAAATGCAGTCAAAAGGGGTCCCCAAGTGCCCCACTTAACTGCTGTGGAATCCAACGTCAAACTGATAAGCATCACTGTGCTGGTGCAAATAATTCTTCGTACTCGATTTTGACTCTCCTACTATGTCACCTGTCTCCTCCATGCCATAACGTGGTGTGTCCTCAATGAACATCTCCCCTTCATGGCTTTCCACTGCACCGTATCGCACAACTTCACTCAAGAAATCTCTGGCATGAAACTTTGCATTCCACTTCTGACATATTCCATCACTGCAATGTCTTCGCATACACCACAAAACTTTTGTTGCCTTGCAGTTGCGCTTGTACCTTTCTTGAAGGGACAAAGCCAAAGGGGCTGCAAATGTTGCTTATGTTCATGCATCTTCAGTGGGAAAAGGGCCACACACACATTTGCCACTTGTGATGAGGTTTTCTGTCTTCCAAAAACTTTAAGACACAGGGTTTAAGGTAAAAGAGGGTCAACAAGCTCTTGCTAGGAGTATTACTGTCTAGAGCTGTACTGAAGCTCTTTTCCTAAACCCAGTTTTGGCAACTAAATCTCTCAGGAATAAGTGACATAACAATCTTCAGTAATTCCCCAGTCTTCCCTTTCCTAAAAGCCAGTTTAAAGTCAACATGCCAAATGCAAAATGTTGCTCCTCTCCATTACCACCTCTGAAACTGCACATAGAAATTTTATATCAACAAACTAAATTAGTACATTGCTCCATATTTCATTCAAATAAGCATTCAGTTTTGAGAATAAGTTACTTCAGTTAAATTTTTAAATCTTACTTAAGATTAAATATCTTACTGTTTGCTTATATGGTGGAGAAACAAACCTTCCTCTAATCTCAGAAATCTTTGGGCTGATCTAATGATCCAACAGGTATGACACAGATTACCAAATGAAACCATCAAATTTGAGACGTGCATAGGCATGGGAACCTCACTCACATGAGAGAGTCAGGAACCCCACATGCAGAAGAACATCAGGGATAGAATGGAAACGTGGACACACAAAATGTACTGAGGCGGTGATAGTGTGAGGTGCCATGCGGTTTCTAAGTGACCTTGTAAAAAGATTGGAGCAAATGCTATGAAAAAGGTGCTATTCTCAAGATGCACACAAGGTGGCGACAAAAGAGCATTTCCTGCTGGCCTCAACTCGGATGCTATTCCAAAGATGCACACTACATGGCGGTGTGCAGCAGAGTGTGAAAAAGGGTCCCACTCCCAGAGAGCAGGGGTCCTGCCAAGTCAGCCCTGGGTCCTCTGACTGCCGGGAAAAGTACTTTCACCTAAGAGAGGATGGATCCACATAACAGGAGCTCTGGGTCCTCACCAAAGAGCATAAGAGGTCATGTCAGGTCATCTCTGCGTCTTATAAGCAAGGGAAGGGGCCCCACCTGAGACCTGTAGGTCCAAGAGTCCTGTGACCTCAGGTCTGGGCCACTTGAGTGTGGAGAGGACCACATGAGAGACAGGAGTGTCCTGTTACTGCACACCTGTGTCCTGTGAGGGTTCAGAAAGGTCCCTGTCTGTGAAATGTAAGTGTCCTGACCCTCCACCTTTGAGCCTGGTGACTGTGGGGAGGGGTCTGACATGAGACAGCAGGGGGTCCTGTCACTTCAACTCTGGGTCCTGGGAGTCTGAACACAGCCCCCCTAGGAGAGTACAGGGCTCTGCCACAACAGCCCTGTGATCTCGAGGTGCGCAGAGGCCATGGGTCCATGACTGCAGGGAACATCTCTGCCTGTGAGTGATGGGTCTCGTCTCATCACCTGTGTCCTGTGGGTGCGGCAACAGGGGCTTCTCGGAGAAAGCTGTGGGTCAAGTCCATACTTAAGGCTTCTCAGAAGTCACAGGCCCAGATTAGGGCTCCTGAGGGCCCCTGAATGTTTGCTGAATGAATGATTTCACAATTACTAATTAAATTAGAAGGTGATCAATGAACCCTGAAGATAATTTCTGTGGGATGGAAATATGGAGAGAGATGAGGGGTAAACTGATAGCACATTCATGCTTTATTACATAATTCACAGAATACTTTGTTGAATATTATTTAATTGCATGTTCAGAATAACATTAAAAATTATCATGTTATAGATCAGGAGACTGAAGAAAACTAGCTACTGGTACAACCTTATTCAAACAATTGGTGAGAACCAGCTAATCTAAGTACAAATATTCTTTCCAAGGTATTACATATTTTCTCACCATTTTATTGTCTAGACATGTTTCTGCCAACTATCCATTTATTCTCTTCCGAATATCCTTCACTCTCAATATTATAGAGACAGTTGAAAGAAAAGAGCCATAAGGCATGGGTTCTAATCTTGGATTCATTACCCACATTGGCCCCATACCCTCTAATATTTATACTCTTGAGGTATTTCCAAGGGTTGAACTATTAAAGACATGCATGTAAAATACATGATAAGCCTTAAAAAACTAAATACATGTTATTTTTTAATATATGACTTATATCGAAGGCCATTAAGCAATGAATATATAGCTTGAGGGAATTGTCAGGAACAGCAAATTTGATGACTGCAAGTGACTCAGAGCGGGCCCAGAAACCGGTGTTTTCTCCTGGTGAAACACGTGCCTTTGGAAAGCACACTAGGCAAAAATCAGGTAAGAGAAAATACTTTGGAAACTTTAGTTCTTCTAAGTCCTACCAAAAATCTAATAAGTATGGCCTAGGTCCATGGGGTGGACTTTGGTAGGCCTGGATTTAAGCTGGGCTAAGCTGAGACTGAAGTTACCACTGGACCTTTGGGCAAATCCTATAAATTCTCTGAGCTTCTACATGCTAATGTGTAAAGTGAAGATAAGGACATAACTCATATATTGTTTGAAAACATTAAATTGAATTTAAAACAGGTGACACATGCAAGTTGTCCAATAAATCCATCTGTGATAATAGCAACCACACTTTACTGTGTGCCCAGGCCTTTACTCAGTGCCTAACACATAATATGCTTTCCATAACTATTTTATGAACAATTAAAGATTGGCAACTTAAACCTGGTAATGCGAAGATCTATAAACTAAAATTGAATCAGTCATTTGTAGTTAGTGTGGAGTCTTAGTCTTCTGAACCAATAGTGAACAGTAAAATACCAGAGTATGCAAAGAACAGGTAATAATTTGATGGGAGGAGACTGTGTGTTTATGACACAATGGGAACTTACACTCCAGACCCCACCAACCTCACTTACCTGCTCTTCTCCAACTCAGAACTCAGCAGAAAGGAGATGGACATGAAGATGTACAGCATACAAGAGAGAAAGGACTGTGTGTACCAAGAGGTCACCGAGCCCCAGGATGATGTCTACCTTTGTAAGTGACCCTCACGAAGAAGCATGTTATGTATGATACAATAATTCCATCTGGTCCTTTGTTCCCCAAAGGGGAACTCATTGACCTCCTGTAGTGACCTGGAGTACAGGACTGAGTGTCAGTGATGTCAGTGCTGCACTCCCTCTGAAGCTCTTTGTGTCTAGGAACAGGCGCTATACCTTCCCCAACCCCTGTCATTCTCGGCTCCAGATTGTGAGAAGTGTCAGAACTTCTGCATCGACCGCTGTGCTGTACATGGGCCCCCTGCATTTGTAAAGGACTGTGCAGTGGACAAGGGGCATCCCCACCGCTCAGCCCTCACCCTCCCCCCTGGGTTGAGAATCGGGCCATCCTGCATCCTGGAGGCTGGGCTTGGAGTGTGGAATGAGGCAGCTGATTTGCCAGTGGGTCTGCACTTTGGCCCTTATGAAGGACACATCACAGAAGATGAAGAGGCAGCCAAGAGCAGATACTCCTGGCTGGTGAGAACTATTTACCTCTTCCACTGTCCTCTGGCTTCCCACATTCCTTCTGAGGCTTGGGGGGACCTCTCCTCTTATGTGCTAGACACGGAGGGGACAATGTGGTCAGCTCTGTGTACTGACTGGACTTTCCATGAACACAGAGCTGCTGTTTAAGGATCAGAAGATAAGTGGGAGCAAAGCGGTGCAGACACAGGCTCCTCCCTTGTGAGGCTCCTGCTCTGACTGGACAGGTAGACTCAGGTGTGTAGGTGATGAGTAAGAAAAATATGTGGTCACAGCTGGCAGTTGAATCCCCAAACAGGCAGAGAGAGGTTTGTTGACAGTAGAGCAAAATTCTTCTGATTATTACCTCCCCACGAAAAAAAATAAATAAAAGGCCTTTAACTTCTTTTCTGAAAAACAGTTCGCCAAAGGGAGAAACTGCTATGAGTATGTGGATGGAAAGGACAGATCCTGGGCCAACTGGATGAGGTGAGGCCACCAGGTCTCTGTGTGTCAGAGGGGACACTCAATCCCCACAAGCCCGTATATCTGTCCCTCTCATCATGGCTCCCTCAGTGGTCTCCCTTAATCTTTTTTTCCCTCTTTTTCTCCATACAGTGTTCTTTCATTCCAGGGGACTTTCAGGAAGAAAGTATAGCATATGTCCTCAAAATGTAAAGCTCTCTGCTAGACACCATCTGGGCGCTGGAAAGGTCCTTGAAGAGCCTAGATTCACCAGGGACACTGGATTACACTTTAATTTATCAAATGAACATTAATTAAGCACTTAATATATTCCAGATTAGGTGAAGGGATACGTTACTAAAAAAGATCATACGACCCATGTCCTACTGGAGAACTTATTGCAGAAAGACATAAGACAGTTGCTTTTAGAAACATTTAACTATAATTTCCAAGAAGTGCACAGTGTCAAGATAGCACAAACCAAGGGTGGCCTCAACCTGTGCAGGTAGCAAACCATCCCAACCTCACTTTTAACTAGAGCTGGGCTCTGAGGCCTGCAGAGGAATGGTCATGGGCCCTTTCTTGAGAGGGGCTCTCTTTTATCAGGGGTAACAGAATGGGATAACTCACATTCATAACAGAATGTGAATGAACTACTATTGTTCTGTTTTATTTTACTAAGACAAAAAGACCTCCACTTTTTTATAGTAACCTTGGCCACACAAGTGAATGGTACCCTAAATAAAGTATATGGGGGTTGGAGAAAGGCCTCTCAAGAGAAAACAGACATGGGCTGAGTACTGGATAATTAGTGAGCTAATTTAGAAGCAGAGCCCTAGATCAAGCACCAGGTTCTGTGGTGTGAGACAACTTGATTTAGAGTGTGGAGAAGCCAGAAATCACTGGATATTATGGCCAATCAGAGTGGACGTTAAGTGTAGAACTGGGTTTTAGAAAATAGTATTAGGCAGGATGAACACTGCAAGCAGGACTTGCAGGTAGGCATTCACATGACACGCTGGCAGATGCTCAGAGACTGAACAGAAGGTTCCCTGGGAGCATTAGGAGCAGTGGGCAACACCAGAGCCTGAGGGTCTTAAGAATCAGTGAGGATGGAGCTGGACAGGGATGTCACAGGTAGTGGGAACTCATCACCATGGTTTTCTTTCCCTTCCTCTGCCTCAATCCCAGGTATGTGAACTGTGCCCGGGATGATGAAGAGCAGAACCTGGTGGCCTTTCAATACCACGGGCAGATTTTCTACCGAACCTGCCGGGTCATCAGGCCGGGCTGTGAGCTGCTGGTCTGGTGTGGGGACGAGTATGGCCAGGAGCTGGGCAGCAAGTGGAAGACAGAGCTCATGGCCAGAAGAGGTGGGCACCACTGTTCTTCAAAACAGAAAGAAAAGAGAGAATTCTCCATAAACATATTCATGGTCCAACTCTTAAGTAGAGTAAAATCCACTCTAAAGTCAGTAAAGTTTCAAATCACATGCTTCAGAAATTCACAATTCATTCATATGCCTTTGACTCTTAGGCAAAATTTTTATATTTTTTATTTTTAAAATGTTTCATGAACAAAATATACAACCGCATATAGTGCTGAAAGACTGAGAGGCAGGAAAAAAAGTTTTCCAAGTACTAACCAGCTCTCTCACCAAGGCAGCTTTTCTGTCACTTTTAAGTTGTTTCTTCTTAATTTTCCTCCATACTTCTAAATGAAACATTTTTGTGTATAGGCATTCATTATTTTTTAAAGATTTTACCCTGGCTGGTGTGGCTCAGAGGACTGAGCACCGGCCTGTGAACCAAAGGGTTGCCAGTTTGATTCCGAGTTGGGGCGTATTCCTGGGTTTCGGGCCAGGTCCCCAGTACGGGGCATGTGAGAGACAACCACACATTGATGTCTCTCTCTCTCTCTCCCTCCCTCCCTTTCCCCTTTTCTGAAAATAAATAAATACATAAATCAAATATTTTTTAAACAATATTTTATTAATTTTTACAGAGAGTGGAAAGGAGGGAGAAGGAAAAATCAATTTGCAAGGGAAACATTAACCGGTTGTCTATGGCACATCCCCAGCTGGCCCACAACCCTGGCATGTGCCCTGACTGGAGCTGAACTTGTAACCTTTCAGTTTTCAGGCAACACCCAACCCACCAAGCCACACCATTCAGTCAGGGCACATTCGTTCATCATTTCAGTGAATTACATGTGAGGTCCTACTGTGGTGCACAGCGTCCTGGGACCTGGAAATACAGATAAACGTGAGGATCAGAATCCCTGCTCTTGAGGAGCTGACGGGTGAAGGACGGAAACCCAGACACACGTGCTTGCATGTGCATAACACCACAGAGCAGTTAGTGCTTTGGAGAAAACTACTCCAGGACCATTGCCTGGGGATCAGTGTGAGGGAAGGTGCAGTGTGGCAGGTGGTCTGGGAAGGGCTCTCTCCAGATACAACATTTACAGAAATACTGCAGGCAAAGGATCCCAGGCAGAGGGAGCAGCTAGTGCAGGGAAGAAAAAAGGTGGGGTGTTGAATTGGCAGAGGGTCACTCAGGTCTCGGCTCAGCATGCAGTGTAAGAAGGGAGTTCACATAGATGCCTAGCAACCTGGAAATGCAGTGACGATGATCCGAGTTGAGACACTGGGGACTTTCCTGAGTGCAAGTGTGCAGTCGTCAGCTGTTGAGTGGTGTGTTCTCTGTTCCGATTATGCTCTGTTAATTTTTAGAAAATAAACTCCAGGGGGGAATCCCCGAGGAGGTTACTTCATCTCCAAGTGAGAGACAATGGTAGATTGGCCAGAGAGGAACTGGAGTTGGGCGTATAGAGTGGTAGGAGAAATATTTTGAAACAGGAGTTCTCAGTGTATTTGAAATTGGCTAACACTGAATGAAATGAATCATAAAGATTTGGTGTGAGGCTTGAGGAAGGACTCTTTTTCAAAGATTTTATTTATTTACTTTTAGAGAGGAAGAGGGAGAAAGACAGGGAAAAATCAATGCCTGGTTGCATCTCACACGCCCCCTATGGAGACCTGGCCCACAACCCAGACATGTGCCCTGACTGTGAATCTAACCTGTGAGTCCCTGCTTCCCAGGCAGGCACTCAATCCACTGAGCCACAGGAGCAAGGACAGAGAGGACACCTGTAGTTGGGAAAGGTCACTGCAGTTTAGGAAGTGAAATTGCCTCTCATGCTACTCGAAACTCCCTATTCTGAGCAGTATTAGCAAAGACCCTTCATGTGGGTTTTCTGGATTTCTGAAGAAGAGGCACTGCATAAAAATAAAAAGGAAAATAGACAGCAAGGGGACACTTTGTGGGAGACAGAGGCTGTGTTATCACCACAGTAAGAAGGATTCATGGGGCAGGTCTTACTAGGAGACTAATCATATGGCCCAGACATTCTCATCAACATCTGCCCTGACCAAACCTTTCTCTTTCAGTGGAACCAAAGCCAGAGGTTCACCCATGTCCCTCCTGCTCTCTGGCCTTCTCCAGTCAGAAATTCCTCAGTCAACACATGAAACTCAATCATCCCTCTCAGATTCTCCTGGGAACATCTGCAAGAAAACAGCTCCAAGCAGAGGAACCCTGTCCAGAGGATCAGAATCAGCAGCACCAATGTACTAATACACACAGCTGGAATGATAAAGCTGAAGATCAAGAGGTCAAAGAAAGGTCCAAACCTTTGCTTACAAGGATCAGTGAGAGGAGAATCTCAAGACCCTGTTTCCAGCATTCCAAAGAACAAATGAGGAGCTCTAATGAGCACGAGAGAATGATGGAAGAAGAGCCCCCCAGAGGTCAGAAAGAGAGTTCAGAGGATACAGGCAAGTTATTTGTGAGAGTGGAAATGTCAAGAATTGTAACAATGGAGCATGGAGGGTGTTGGCAAGGCTTAAATGATGGGTCACATCACTTCACACACCAGAGGACACACTCTGGGGAGAAGCCCTATGTTTGCAGGGAGTGCAAAAGAGGCTTTCCACAGAAGACAAATCTCATCACATACCAGAGGACACACTCAGGGGAGAAGCCCTATGTTTGCAGGTGGACTAAGTGACTCGTTAACATTAAGTCACATGTGAATAGCCATAGGAAGTTTACAGCCCCTCACACTCCCCAAGATTGTAATTAGTACAGAAGTAACTTGTTAAACCTCCAGTTTCATGACAAGAGATGAGATGGACTAACAATTTCATAGTGATATGGGGATGTCAGTACCAATCTCATTTCTGGATTTTTGACATCCTATTCTGAAACATTTTATCTCCATACAAATATGAAACCCAATACCTCATTCTCCCCATCACCAAAAGTAGAGGGTTCCTGAAGAGCCACAAAGAACTCACACTCAGCCACATATATTCAGCTCCTGCCAATGTGTAAATCTGGAGTCAGTCTACTTTGGTTACTCTCCAGAGAGGGATTTGAGAGATGCATCAGGGAAGGGATTCCCCGGACTCATGGGAAGGGGGCCTTTTCTCCCAATCAGCTCCCTACCCTTCTCCCTTGGCTTCTCTTGGCTCTTCTGGTTTCCTACAACCTCTGGAGCCTCAGAGGTGTAAATGGCAGGGAGAGATGGATATTTGTGCATGGACGTGAGCCTGGCTCAGCCTGGGCACCTGGTCTTCCTCATTCTCCTTGCTGCTCCTTCAGGGTCATCACTTCCTGGTGCACAGAATACAGATTCCACATCAGTCCATACTGGGTGTGAGTCTCGGCTCTGTCTTCTCCAGCTGTGTGATGTGAGGCAAGATTCTCAACTCTCTGCCTGCTTCCTATTCTGTACAGTGTAAATGGGAACTCCAGCCTTTATGTTTGACTTTCAAAGTTGAGTCAGCACAGACAGCATCTGGCGAGAGCATTGCTGAGATCACAGGTCCTGCTGAACAGCCTTCAGTGCCCATGTCCTCCTGGTCTTTAGTGCTGGACAAAGGAACATAAGGACAGGGTAGAAGTCTGTAGCCAAGTTCAGAATTTGACCAGACACCACTGCTTTCCCCAGTAGACTCAGCTGCCCTGAGAAGGAGGCCTGATGTGGGGGATGTACCTCCCTTCAGGTCACTCCCCCCTCCCACTGACCCTGCACACCCTCAGAGCCTCCTCCACACACACAGCTGCTACTGAGAGCGAGCTGTAAAATAAGACCCTAGCCCACCGTTTGCTCAGAACTGACACTGGGAAAAACATCTGTCCGCGCTGGTGTGTTAGGATAGATGGTGAGCCAAGAGAGGACGAGGAAGACGTGCTACCCACTGACTCAGCAGTCCTGAGCCTGGTCCAGTTCTATCGCCAGATGTTCTGGCATCACAAACACCATGCTAACGCATTGAAATTCCAGGTCTCATTTCCAGTATATGGGAAAGAAAGGCTTTCAGACTGTATTCATCCCAAGGGCTAGAAGATGGGAGAGGTTCTACAGCACTCAAGGAAAAGACCCATAAAACAAATTTGGTTAATAGTTTTCCTATGGCCACTCTCTGTTTTATGAGAGGGTCCCTAGTGCTTACAGAAAGAACCCATTGGTAATTTTGGGTAACCACCTCAACTTTGTCTCCTGTCACAAATCTATTTTACAAGATGACCAAATGGGGTCTGAAGCAAGATAAAGATTCAGCATACCTACGTTTGGGTAGTCACATTCCCCATGCAAGCTGACACCACTTTTACCTGCTAAACGATGTGTAACTGCTCCCCCATCTCAGCAACTACCAATATATAAGTTCTCAGGACAAAGGCCCTGATGCTCTTGCCTCACTCCCATCTCAGCAAGACCTGTTCTCTTCCATGAGAATGTATCACTAATAAACCCTGCGTGCACACTAATACACTTGTTGATCTGTAATCCTTGACTGCATTGGCAGGAAGAACCGAGTTGCTCCTGTGACAGGTGCACCCAGTCTGCATATGGTATTCATGAAGCTCACAAGGCAGCAGCTTCTGTGATGCACTGTCCTTGTACCTGAGCCCCACAGGGCTTCATACACCACTGACACCATCTCAAAATTATTATTGTATCTTTAAACTTTTGTTTGTGAAGTCTGATGGGATGATGAGCATGCACAATGTTGGTCGTTCCTGGCCACCCATTCACAGGTAATGTCCACAATGGCCCAAGAGCACAAAATTCCCATGGACAAAATGGGTGGGAGTCCAGCGAGACTCAAGATGAGAACAAGGTAAAATCTACACCTGCATAAGCATAAAGAGGGGTGCTAACAGTTCCCAGAGGCCACACTTTTCTTAGAACCAGAGCTGAGTTCAATAGAGAGATGGCAATTAGCAGGACCCCATCATACCCTCTCCTGCATGAGGGAGACCTAAGCAACACCCACCCTTCTGCTGGAGTGGGTTCACCAAAGGGGGGCACCCACCCCCATGACCTGGAAGGATGACCTTTATGTCCTCCCACTGCCAGGCTTGTTAAGAGGAGTGTC